GCATCTGGCTTCGAGGAATGACAAATCCAAAGCTTGAACCGTTGCAGTTTGCTTTCTTCGAAGTCAGAGACCATCAAAAGAGCCAAGGGCATCAGCCAGAGGAATGATTTTTGGTAAAAAAGAATGCGGAGAAAAATGGCAAAGCTGCAGGAACTAAACGCGCACTGCGTTGCAGTGAAATTCTCTCGAAAAATAGAATGACAGCTGACCTACCGACAAAGTCAATGTGACGCAAACAGCGAGTAATGATTCCTTTTACATTTTTTAATCGAAGCATTTTCGTCTCAGAATATTATATACTTGGATTAATACATTCAAATCATTAATACATTCATTGTCACAAGACTGACAACGATCAGTTCACAGGGTAGGGAAAAAATGTCATTTTTCAATACGGTAGCTAAGAAATTTCAATTCCCAAATAAAATTCCAGCTGGTGTTGGAAAATCAGCAAGGAAGGGGACACCAGTCTTGCTGAGATGGAAAGGAAGCCAGTTTTGCGTTTTCATTTGCATCCACACATCGGCATCTGGTCCCTTGATGTTAGTGTTCAACCGAAGCCACTCTGAATCCTATGAGCGGACGTTTGATTCTTTGGATCCTTAAAAACAAAATACCGGCCGTTTGTGTTAACCCGTGAAATAATCAATGATTAAGTTTCATGAAAGTCATCATCACGAAGTTTGTTCTTCGAGCTTCATCGCTGCAATCACTTTCTTCCTCTCCTGTGCCTGCCGCATTTTCTTCAGAACAAGAGCCTCAAAGTCCATTTCACCATTCGCAGATTCAGCGAGGTTATTCATGTTTTCCTGTCGCTTACTGCACAGTTCTGTGACTTCAGGCTGATGCAAAGGACTGCTCAGGTTCATTTTCCTCAGCTTATCACACAATAGTGATACCGTGAAAGGAAAGCCCTCCTGGCTGTTCGAGTGATCGACGGCCAACTTCTAAAAAAGCTACCATTTATAGTAAAGTGCACAAAAGATGGCATTTATGTCAATGGATAATCAACTACAGCTGCTATTATGCAGCATCGTGTTTGACAACAGACCTATGTACTGCCCAAAAAGATAGTATACACAGAACACCGAGCAAAAGATAGGTGATTATGAATGTCGAAGTTTGACTGGCTGACATTCCTGGTTTCTGAAAGCAAGGGAGAGAACGAAACTTAGTCCTCTAATTAGGGCTGGGTCAGAACCGTTACGGAGCAGCTCCTTTCATGCTGTAGCACTCAAACATTATACTCGCCAAACAGATAAGCTACGGTGACAGGAACTCTAAACTTCTGATAATGTTTACAACCGGAGTAAAACTTTAGTTTGTAAAACCTCGTCCCTCCCATTACCAGAAGCGAAATCAACTAATAGCAACTGCAACATGCCCTCACACAAGTAGTATTACTGTTTAACAAGTTTAACAAGGCAAAAAAAACTCACCGCTGCATCCAAACTCGCAAATTCGACAACTGCCGAAGACTTCTTCCTCAGACTCAACACGACACTGATGACTTCTCCAAACTGAAATAAAAACAACAAAAACTTCAAATACGCTGTATAGTAATAGGGAAAATGGATGAAATTTGAACATAACTGAAATTTAATTATTTAAAACAAGAAACACACCACTATATATAGTATCCGCTAGCAAAGAAACACGATGATGAAAAAACTGAGAATCAAATCTGTTACCTTCTCAAATATGGCCCGCAGTTGTTCAGAGTTAGAAACCGCATGTGGATCAGTCCATCGTACCTAAACGATGTGCAAAGTTAGAACAGTGGTTCTAAACAGTAGCAGTAGAAAAATATCGTTGTCTTTCAGCTTGTAATACTCAAAATAAAGTGACTTATTCAGCGGCTAATACGAAAATCACTACTCTGCCACTCAGCATCTTGGACGCTTACCTTCCTCAGTGGTTCGTCCCTTCAATATTTGAAGGACCACTGTAATATGAACCTGTACCAGGACCTCAATACTCAAGAACCCTGTTACTTAGTAGCTTACTTATTTACCTACGTACTTATTTAGGCGCACAAATACATACTCACTTGGCAGTTCACTTAGCTATCGAAAAACATATCATCAAGAAACAATCATTTTACTTAGCATATTATCTATTTACATAAACACCATCTAAGTTCACTTGCCAAGCAACTTAGTGGGATACATACGTCATTACTGATTACTTTCTTTTCTTACTTACATGGTATTTAATTGCTTCCTTAATTGTTTCTTCGCATGGATACCAAGTTTGCCACTAATTTACCATAATATCTGCATATTTACTAGCCTGTTTATTTGGATACGTACCTACTTAATTACTCGTTTATTTCTTTACTTACTTATATGTTTAATTCCTTACTTACGTACTTGCCAACTTATTTTCTTCCTAAATAACTATTTGCCTTCTTGTACGCTTATTCATATGCTCTCTCAGTCATGTAACAACACATTTTATTATCAGATTTTTTACCTAACTCCATAATTATTCCCTCCCTTAAATACAAGCTCATTTATGTACTTATCTACTTTGCCATATATTGCAGTCATAGGTAGTCACACTGAAAACAAAAAATAATTTTCCACAACACCACGTGATGGTCTGTAAGGGATGTAGCGATACTGATTTCTCCACTGGTACTTCGGTAGTTGTTGGGTGCTGTGACGGTAATCTGCAGCAGTTGTTTATATTGCTTTTTGGCCATCAAAGGCTAGCAGATCTTACACAAGAGTAACCCATTTGATGATGACTGACGTTCGGACGATGGTGTCCCAGATCGATATTAGGTTAACTTCACTGTGGCTACAAAAGTCGCATTCATCGTTGAAAGAAACTCTGCCAAGTGATTCGATAGGAATTAAATTCACCAAATGCGTTTTACATAAAAGAATTTTCTCATGCTGTATTTTATCCATCCTCAATTTATTTTATTACTTTTTTACCAAGTTTTTTATTCTTAAGCTAACAATTCCTTTTTCTACTAACATGCAAAATTATTCATATCTTATTCACCTGCATGCATACCTATATGCACCTTAAACTATTTAATTGCATACAAACTTAGCAGGTAGTGGTACGGTGCTCTCCATTTTTATGCTAACTGGGGTGAACTACAGATTCGATGCAGCTATGTGACAAGCATAGTGCGTAACCTCCTGTTTACTTCCAACAGAGGAGTACTCATTTATCAACCTTGGAAGAACGAAGGGTAAGTGATCGCGATATACGGGTTCCAACCGTGGGCCTCTCAGTAATGAGTTCGACGCTCCAGTGACTAAGTAATTTTGATGTACATACGTAAATGCATACTAATTGCTGACATACTTATTTGCAAACATCTTTTCCTGATTTACTTGCTTAATCCTTTATTCCCTCACTTAATAACAGCATTATATGCTTCTTCTTATCACCTTACCTTCAGAATCTTATCAAGTTTATATTCCATCAAGTTTTAACCTGCTAACTAATTTTCTCACTCACTTAACTCCTTACTTCTTTATTTGCAGATATGCGTTCCAACTTAATTTCCTTCTTTTATTGCGATACCATGTCGTCAAGTATCAAACTGTATTGTCATCCGTTTAATTCTAGACAGCTCATTTACTGGAAGCGGAAACAGATAAGAAATATAAAAATTTGCTTATTACGCCCAGTCAAAAGGCTTTATAAACATTAGTTACGCAATTAATGTTTTTAAATACAATTAAACAATCAAATTGCCTTAATTAAAGCTGCATCCGGTGGAATTCTCGACGAAATATTTGAATCAGAGTGCGAACGCTTGCTGAGCTTCTCCTTCCGCAAAAGCGTCTCGATATTTTCCCGTTCTCGCTGTAGTAACTTGGAACCTTCCGTTCGAAGGCGTTCAATCTAAATTCAAGCCTTAGGTACACTAATGTAAAATATTTTCAAAAAAGTAAATTGCGCTCAGTTCAAAGTTCTGAAAATTCTTCTCAGATGTAGCAATCCCTCCGTGTTTTGAAACACGTGGTAAATGTCTGCGAAGGTAGTTCTGCGCAAAATGAAACATTACCCGGTGGAATAAAACAAAAATCATAAGTAGCTGTGTCCTAGATCACAGAGGAAATTTTCAAGAAGGCAAGGCATCACAGCATCATTATCCGTCACCTATAATTCTATTGAATCGGAACGACAGGCGAGCGCACCTATTGCCTATAATGACAGAATCTCGTAACAGGATCAAAAGAAGAGATCAAGAGAAGAATATAGACATAGAAGAACAGTATATTTCCCGTTGAGTGTAAGTGAAACAGCTTAGCGACACCAGCTAATTGTTTAACACATTGTAATGTAGCTTTATAAAAACGTTTCGATGAAATAGGCCCGGTTTGGGATTGGCTCTTTCATCGTTTTAGACTTTAATTAAATAAAATTCACAAATCTGAGCATGTTTAACGACGTATCAAGTGCAGAGGCTAGCAATGCTTTAGAACATGCTAGAGGATCTGGGGCGGAACAGCCTCGCGCATAAGCGACTTGCAAGCTGCTAGTCACTTCTTAAAGCTGACTAAGGAGTACCGGTCGAATGAGAGAGTTCAATGCCTAGAGCAATACGGGGGTTAAAGCGATTGGCAGAAAGTCACCAGGTCTGCTCCAGCAGCCGATGTTAGAAAAGGAGTATTCTTGGAGGTCCGCCAGCAATCCAGAATGATTTCAGAACGTAAACAGTTGTAAAATAAATTGCAAAACAGAGTGCTCAATTTGGTTTTACTCTGGATTAACAATTTAGCTATGACTCCATATGACCTGGATGCGTTGTTCAACTACAGGAATCCTCGTATATGTTTCACGTCAAATTCATATCACGATTTTCTTAAAAAAATACAAGTTGGTCAAACGTACTTCCGCTGCCAGGCGTTCGGCAGCCATAGCTTCATCGTTGGCAGTCTTGACGAGGCCGAATTCACGAGCTTCCAATTCTAAGCAAACCCATCCATTTTCAGGACAACAAACCATGACAAAATAACTTCAAATTCTTAACCTTCTTTAAGCTTTCTCCTCCTTTCGTCCAGGTGCTTATTTCGCTCAACGTTTATACGATGCGCATGCCGGAGACGATCGAGTGCCGCCTTGGCAGCCGGGTCGCATAAAATTTCCAATGCTTTCGCCACCTTCAGGAACATCTGTTGCGCTAAATACGACTTTAATTTGAAATTAATGATCACCGGATTAATTGTAACGATTTTTCTACCAAAATCTTTCTGGGAAGGGTTTTTGTCCGGATGCCATATCAAAGCCGTTTTTCTGTACGCCCTGATCACGTCTTGCTGACTGCATTCCTCTGACAGTGCCAACAGTTCGTATGGATCAAAATCGAGCTTATCCGTCATGATGCCTAAAATTATTCAAGGTCCAGACAATGAGAAGAATGCATCTATACAAATATCCTTAAAAAAACTCTAGAACGCTGCAAGCTACAGGAAATGCTGAGCAACGCTATTTCAGCGAAGACTAACCGTCTTAAGGAAACAAAATTTATCCTATTAGAAACAGATTATGAGAAGAGTCATGCGATATACAGATTGAAATGTTAATTATCTAGTTTGCTAGTTTAACGTGTCATTCATTCATGTAATTTAAGCAACTTTCTAATCTGATTGAATCAAAGGAATGAACACAACAACGTCAGTAAATATAATGGCTGCAACACCAAGATAGAAACTGGTTACAGTTTTGGCTGCATATAAGTGACGGTGAAACATTTTAGTAAAAGCAGAATTCAGTAAAAAAAATCACGGCAAGAACACTTGAAAACCAGCCACATAAAAACCAACACCCGACGTGTAAACAATAGGAAAAATGGTACTGCTAAACAAGCTTAGCTTAATGGTACAAATATAGTCTATCTAAGCTGACTTCAATATGTTAAATCACCGGAGAACAAAAAATAGCCAATTTCTTTTCCATCTATTACGCTCAACTTAAAATAGCTCAACTATCAGTCACTAAAATTTGCAATTTCGAAATTCTCTATTGAGTCTTTGAATTTTCCATAGGCTTTAAAGGTAAATAGACACAAACTTAACACAACGAATTCTTGAACCACTTCAAGCAACTGTCTTAAATCGCAAAAAACCTTAGACAACAAACGAGACTTTGATCAGAAACTTGCATATTACATAAACATTCTTCAAAGAAAGCGAAAGCTGAACACATTATTTAAATGATCCCTCAAAATGAAATTCAGATCTTACCAATATCAAGAGAACCAAAATCACGGCAATTTTGACGCACTAAAACCTGAAACGCCGTTACCGAATACGATTAACGCTGTATCAATGAAAGGCAGGATCAAGATCTAACAATTTTACGGGGGCGTACTCTAATATGGTCCTACTTCCTCGTTTATATTAGTGAAGGTTTATGAACATCATTTTCGCAGTCATTGAAGGTTTAAAAATCTTTTCCGTGAAGGCTATGAAAAGTATGATAAATGTTCTTCTTGTCTGCAAAGCAGAGTCGTCTAAACATTTTATCAACCAGCTGATACTTTCAACTAAATCCTGTTTCAATGTCATGTCTCGTTCTTCGAAGCACAAAATTACTCTGAATAAAAGGTCAGATTCAACAAACTCGATAAACGGCGAAAGAAAAACGCGAATAACTTTTAAAAATCTTATTCATGCAGGCACGAAATTTTGTAACTCTCCGATGGCAAATTTGAGCACAAATAAATTGACTGATAATGAATTGACTATTTTTACATTTTGTTCATATCTGTCGCTCACAACAAGGCAAGCGAAAATTCTTTTCTTCTATCAGAAATATTGTTTAAAACTTTAGCTCCATGACAACGACACTTTTATAAAGTAGTATTTGTCCGTTATTGAACCTTTCAAGGAGATCAATCAATTCGTTTTCCATGAAGGTTGCCAAAAACTACTTCATAAAATGATTGTTTGCTCCGTGTAGCTATTTAGATAGTATACCTCAGCTTCAGGGGAAACGGAACCGCTACTGAATCCGAATCAAGGTCGGAAACAGTCATGCATCTCAAATTGGCGAGCCAGCCACGGGTTATACCTATTTAAGACCATTGGCGTACCCACCTGTGGGTTATATAAGGTTATACTTGTTTGAGCTGTTTTTCCATTATTTAGATGATGCGCTGCTTAGATGAGCTGTGTTGATGTAATGGTCATGGCTTTTCAGGGTGAATTTTCAATCACTTCGCCATTGGTGCAAAGTTGCAAGACCATGACTATAAGCTGGTAGCAAGAGACGCCAGTTTAAATGATATGCACCCGTTGACAATAAAATAATGCACCTAAATCAAGCGTACTGCATACATGTTAATTCTACTTTTAGTCCTCTCCGTCTTGACTGATTCCTAATTCTTTCTTTTCTGCGGGTTGACTTCCGCAAACTGTGTTGCTTGTCATCGGATGCCGTCGTTCCTTAACAAGGTGTCATGAATAATGGCAGAGTCCATGTCATCTGTCCGTCCGGGATAAGCCAAATGTTTAACGACTGGGTTCTTCAGTTGCCGAACAGGAACAATAGCATTGTTATTTTCTCTCTGCGTTGGTAGTTCACCTGATATATAATCGCTGTTTCTCTCATTTCAGTTATATACGTATGGAATGATCAGCAGAAAGCGTATTCGGAATTTTTCTCTGCTCTCTGCCGCTCCTTCTAGGTTGTAGATCCTGTTCAAGTTGAATCCAGTTTGCACAGTTATTCTTATGCAAAGGTCTTTGGATATCGCTTTTTGCCCGCTTGATGACGATGTAACATTACTCCTAATCGAGTGTGATGAGTCCCAGCAGATTGATGTGTTTCAACGGGCAGAGAGTTTGTTGAAGCAATCCTGCTGAAATGAATGTCATGGGTTTTGGCATGAAAGTTCATGTATCATATCGTGTGTGTGGTCTTCTGGAATATGTTTGCCGTCCTATTCCTCTTGTGTGCCAAATATATGTACCAATAGAATTCGTCCTCTGTCATCAAGTTCGTAAATAAGCTTAATATTTTTGCCATTGGATTTCGGTTGTTCAGTAAAAGCGTTTATTTGTTCTTTA